AGTTGCTTCACACAGAAAATAGGCCCACATTATGAGTTCAAGAGCTATTACATCTCGAATTCTAGAATTAGTAGTAGATGCCAGGAATTTCTCTTACCACCATATATAGAGGACAGACCCATTTGACTTTTTGTGAAGACTGTAACATATTATGATGGTGTAGTATGTGCAACATTCACCCAAGCTCTTCTTCAATCAACCAAGAAGGAAGGTCAACAAATTCCTATCACAGGTGTTTTGGGCTGCAATCTGTTAATCCGCAAAGTTTGGTCACTTTCTTTGTAGAGATACCAACATTTCTGTCTGTAGGTATTCAGTAGGTTACCAAAAATATACATTAAAGTGTTGGTTCACCAAAGTTAGAAAAAAGGATATTTTCACATGTTGCTTGTCATCTAGTGATAAGGAGAATTTGAATTTTATTTGCTTAGGTTGTGACACATCCACTCTGGATAATCCACTGAGCAAACTTTCAACAATTTGCATAGAAATAATCTTTTTGATAGGAAGTAGTTCAGTGAGCTGGAAGGGTGTGTCTGTGTTATCCAGTGTAATGGCTGCATTGATTCTGATGTTCCTACTGAACCATTTAAATGTGTTTTTTTTATACTGCTAGACTCACAAATACAATTCTACTTACATCCATTTTATTGGGTTTGAGGCAGAAATCTCAGAGATCCCATCACCAAACCTGAACAAAGATAACATGGTTACATGGCTAGACACAACCAGAGTTAGGTGAGAATAACCTTTTTATGTAACTTGGCTGAATCAGCCCTTACATCTAATAAAAATAGATCTCTTGTTGTCTAGCACACTGGCCAATGAATGGTGTCTAAATCAAATTACATCTGGTCACAGATGTCGCATAATGATGTCAACAAGAAAATAAAAGAAACTGAGCAACATGAGGAGAGAGCCAAACATGGAGCAACAGGCAGGTCAAAATTTTGAGTGGTAATCAGAGAACAGTCACTCTTCCCTCCTTGTCTGCACCTGTGACCAGAAATCCTGCTTGCAGCCCCATATGGTCTGTAGCAATTGTCTTGTATAAAGGGGAGAGGACAGGAGAAGAGAAACACCAACCAATGTTTGGGGAGCAGACAAGAGGCGTTAGTGTGCCAAAATGGACTGATGGACAGAGGAGCTCTAGACCACATGGTCACAAGGTGACCGGGTTTGTGTCTAATGGGATTGATATAAACTGATTTTACATTATTACAAAAAGAAAAAGAGAGGAAGAGATGGTATTTTAGATTTAGAAACATTTATTAACTTACTTTTATAAGAACATCTTAAACATTTAAGAAAAATTGTTAGAACATTCTTTTGTACAGAAACCAATTCCAAATACCTCATCTAGTCATGGGCAGAGCCAGGCAGTGGCAGACACTGATTGGCCAGCACTGGTGCCGCCCCTGCTGGTCAGTATTAATGAATGAAAGATGAAAAATAAGGACAAATTGTCTTAAATACAACTAATGCAGTTTCTGGTGCTTTACAATTGACATCGGTCATATTAGTTTTATTTTACATCATGCAAGCAGCATGATATTTGCATTCAGTTCTCTGACTGTGTTGTTGTGGAGAACTTGCCAAGATCCACCTCAGCTGTGTGGGCGAGGAACCACTGCGCAGCAGTGATATCCCCGGCCAGGAGTAAAGGAGCGCACCCAAAGTTAGCTAAAGAAAGCACTGTGTGTCTCATGTTTACACAAAATAAACAATTTGATTATTAATAATATATGGTTTAATATTTCATAAAACTAGGGGTTTAATTTACCTTTTATATGTATTTCAAATGTGCCTCCCCTCTTGGAGTCTGTGCCCAGCCTGGCCACCCTGTCCTAAAGTTTCTGGATCCGCCCCTGCTACAAAGTAAATAATATCAGAATAACTATTATATAAAGACACTATCTACTTTAAAGGTAATCTGTACCTTCTCTCTTACCTTCTACCTGAATACTTGTTTAAACTGATCTCAATATCAATAAGTATGACAATAAGGTCATGCTGACTTGCTGTTGATGGTAAGAGTGAGCCACTCCAGGCTGATGGGAAATCATGATACATATGCCATTTTGCCAGAAGCATACTTTTATACTTTTGACATCAGCTGGCATTAAATACTTGGGTCAAATTCTCCACCACTTGACACATACTAACTCTTCGGGGAATGATGTTGTTCAGCCAGTTCCTCTTCTTCCTCCTTCTCTTCCTGGATATACTGGACTTTTTAACTGGAAGGAACCACCCTTAAATGTGGAAGTTCAGTAAATACAACCTGTTTCAGTCCAGATTTTCATCTTGCCTGGTCCCAGAGTCCCTAGTTAAAGAATTAGTAGAGTACACAGTGAATCATCCAGTGTCAGAACTGGAAGTTCAGCTCTCCTCTCGAAATTGAATCCAATGACAACACTGACTCGTGAGTGTGCTCACTACACCCTCAACAAACCAGTTTTATGTGACAGCAAGGTGGACACAGCTGCAGCTATAAATTCACAGCATCCAACAGTGTCAACACTTGTTCATTAGCTCAATGTAAACAAACCTATACCCATCATTAATTTTATTGGCTCCAGCTGTGGAACCTTTGTAAAAAGTGCCATCAGCATAACAAATTCAAGTGTTGCTACAGTAACGTCAATAAGTAGTTACATCCATAAATGCCACCTAAAACTGTACTGTGCCAAAGGGAAGCCCTATGTCAACAGTGTCCAGAAGCGCAGTCAACTGCTCTGTGCTCTGAGGCATCTGGGATGAACCTTCACACAGTGGAAATGTGTACTGTGGTCAGACCGATCAGTATTTCAGGTCTTTTTTTTTTGGAAGTAATGGATGCTGTGTGCTCTGGACCAAAGACACAAAGGACCATCCAGACTGCTACCAGCATCAAGTCCAAAAGCCAGGGTCTGTCATGGTCTGGGGTTGTGTCAGTGCCCTTGGCAACGGTCACATAAACTTCTGTGATGGCTCCATTAATACTGAACAATACAGAAAGATTTTGGAGCAACATGTGCTGCCTTCAAGACGACATCTTTCCAGGGACGCCCATGCATATTTCAACAAGATGATGCAAAACTTCATACTCCACATGCTACCAAGGCCTGACTGTGGAGGGTGTGAGTGCTGGACTGGCCTGCCTGTAGTCCCCACCTGTCCCCAGGAGAGAATATGTGGCACATTTGATTGATTGATTGATTGATTTATTCTTTCAAACATGCAGAACAGAACAGAACAATGAACAAATGACAATAACACACATGATTACACATATCCAACCAATACTAATTCAAAATCAGTTTGCTTACACCTAATACATGTTTGAATGGAGTAGGAAGAAGTCAAACTTATCCAGTCCTACCCCATGACATCATATTATACAAAATTTATGCATTTTGAAATGCAAATTGTGTCAACAAAGATCCAGGACTGTTGTGCACCTTAAGACGTGTTTGCAGGAAGAATGAGACAAAATGACACCCGACATTTTAAATCACTTGGTGTCCTCAGTCCCTAAACATCTTTTAAGTTTTGTGAAAAGGAACGGTAACATCACACGGTGGTAAATGCTTTACTGTCCCTACTTTTTTGGAATGTGTTTCAGCATCAGGATTGAAATGAGTTATTTTGAACAAAGAATAAAATTGAGGTATCACATCAAATAATGTACTGCTGTGTTGTTTTCAATGTAATACAGGACACAGGTGATTTACACAGGACACAGGTGATTTACACATCACTATTTTGAGATTAAATTTTGACTTTACATACCATGCCAACTTTTTCTAATTTAGGGTTGTACTTAGCTACTTTCCACCACTGTAGATAATATCCTATAACTTGGATGACTGGAAATCCTCACATATGTATATTACATTCTTTGTTAGTTCTTTTCTGTATTCTTCATGACTTTTGTGGATTTGCATAACAAGGCAGGGTCAGGTTCACATGCTGCCTTGAAATTGTCCCAGGTCCCTGATTCATCAGTGTCCCAGTTTTCACTGAACATGTGCCAAATCACTGCCTGAACCTTGTTTCACTATCGACACCACACTCTTGTTTCATAACGCAGGCTTCAAATGTCAAGTATTAAAAACAACCTGGTTACAAGAGGCTCAGGTTCAGTCCCAAATGAGGAGTCATCATCTGAATTGACTGTCTCACCATCTCTGGAGATCTCCCCATAGAACTGAACTGAACTGAACTGAACTGCCCCCCCTCCCCCCTTCCAAAAAAAAATTAAGGCCTCATTGATAAAACCTAATCTGACTCTCCATGGACAGTAAATAATGGATTTGGCCGATCTTGTTATAAAAAGGTAATGTTCGTTTCTTCCTGCACATTAAACACTTTTGCTTTTCTATTGTATTGTAGTGAGTATTTGTTTCAGAAAACACCCCAGAGCAGCTTGTTTCAGTTAATAATCATTTTTATTTTCTTTAGAAAAAGAAACTATCACAACTTCATTTGTTTACTGTACAGTTTCTCTTGTCATAGTCACTCAGTCTGATAACAGGCTGTGATTTCATGCTGGAACACCAAACACCCCCTACTAATGCACACCACTAGTACAACATGACAGTCTACGATTTTATTGTTTTCCGCTTTTGTATTTTACATCCTCTAATATTTTGGAGTAGCAATAGAAACCACTTCTATTTAAAAAAAACGGAGACAGTAGAAATCCCTGACAATTTCCTTTAGATAATGAGGGACGAGAAAAAGAAGTCATTGAACGGTGTGGTCCATACCAACGTGAACCTGACGTACTTCTGTGTGCGTAATTTTGACAGCACCATAATTTACTAGATATGTATGAGTAATAGAGATTCTCTGCCCTTCTTGAGACACAGTAAGAAAAATGAGAAAGAGAGAGAGAGAGAGAGAGAGAGAGAGAGAGAGAGAGAGAGAGAGAGAGAGAGAGGGGGAGACAGAGTTGACCAAAAAAAAAAAAATCCAAAAGGGAACACAAAATATAAATTACAATATAAGAAGACAGAAAATCTAGGTCAGATTGTGGAGCTTGCAGACACACTTGGATATGCAGACTCTCACTGGACACAACTGCATGTTTTGCCAAAGCTGGGACAGAAGACTTTAAGTGGAATACAGTTTATATAAGATTAAGGGATGTATCGAGTATGTCTCCCTGAGAAACACTTTTCTTCAGTACCTTAACGCTTTGTCACTGGCCTCTCCTATAGCCTCCTTTACATCTCCCCCAGAGGAAAACAAAAGATCTTGGCTCATATTAAACCTTCATATCATTCCATGAACTTTTCCCCTTTGGACTATTCTTCTATTAGGATTACTGCAGCAATGCCAACACTCACAGCAGTTATGGGGCATGGGCAGGTGGCATTCACATAAACTGTAACTGTCCATAGACAACATTCCTGGCACTCGCTCCACAGGTGTGTATGTGCAATGACCTGCAGCCCTCCATCTCATTCTCTATCAGTCTGGCCTTACATGGGAGTTTCATACAAAACAGCTTATGATGTACCGTGTGTGACAGAGTCTGAGGAAGGGGCTGTAAATAGGTTGTCCTGTCCCCTCTTGACATTTCCTGAAGCAGCAGCACCAAGATAAAGCGCATACACACGTTACAGAGCTGACACGCAAACCACAGGGATCAGCAAAGGTAGAAAAAGAGCACAATTAGAGACGGTGAGAAAGTGAAGTTATTGCTACAAAATGCTTTGCTAATTATTCACTTCATAATCCCTCGTTACCTGTGTCAAGGCATTTCTGTTGTATGAGGGGTAACTGTGCCAATGTAACTTTGCCAGCTCTAACCTGATAAGAGTGATCTCTGCAGCCCCTTCCAACTGTCACTGACATAAACATTTCTCCAGAAAGGGTGGTGTCCTCCGAGTGTTGAGTGTGAAGCAGAGGCGACTGACAGCGCAGGTGTGCTCGAGTGTGTTTTTCTAAAACAACGCTCACATGAGAACACGCAGATTAAAAACATTTTCTCATTGTACGAAGCCGTGCACTCATACGAGGACATTTTTAAAAGCATCTAAAAATCAAGCTGTATCAAATGGCTGTACACACAAATTCCACAGCCGCTCAAGAAAGTCCTTTGTATAAAATCTTTTTTTAGCGTTTCTTTTATTGTCTTTCTGTGTGTTCAGCAAATATTAAAAACCAGGAACTGGGGTGTCGACACCTCTCAGTAGAAAACAAAAACAATCACCAAATGAGTTTTAAAACCTAGACTCCACTTTCTCCTATACTGCTTCCTCCTGAGGAAGTGGAAGAAGAGAGGAGATAAGACTCTCTCTCTCTATGAGACAAGTTTGGGTAGGACCGTGCGCAGAGGTATGGCCTCCCCTGAATCTCCTATCATATTGCTCCTCAGTTTGTTGTTGGCTACTGTGGTGCCTAAGCCAGCCCCCCCCTTGCCCAGAATAGAGGGGAAGGAGGTGCTGTGGTGCTCAGGGAGTCGTTTCACTGATGCCCCTTGGCTCTTCTCTGTCCCAGGTATGGGCTTAGGCAACCTGCGATACAGCCAAGGGTGCCTGAGGGCCTGACAAGGGGTGAGACGAGATGAGGGGTCCCAATCCAAACACTTCTTTATGAAGTCAGTAAAGGTGGGGTCCTCACAGCCCTTGAGAGCAGCACTCCATTCCTTACTACCTGGAGGGCCTCTCATCTTGCCACGGCGGGAGCGAGACCCCGTCAGCACAGTGGCCCCGGTGGGCAGGGTATTGGCTCCACAATAGCGTGGGTGGCCCTTGGAGTTGATGAAGTTCTTTGCCCTTTTGGCCTGCTCCAGAACCTTCTGTGGAGGAATACCCAGCAGCTCCATGACACAGGCCAGCTGGTCACCCTCGTCCTCACCAGGGAACAGGGGATAACCGGTCAGCAGCTCTGCCAGTATGCAGCCGAAGCTCCACATGTCAATAGGAAGACCATAACGTGAACCAAGAATCACCTCTGGAGCTCGATAGAAACGAGACTGGATGTACGTGTACACTCGCTGGTGTTCAAAACAGCTGGAGCCAAAATCAATCACCTAGCAGAGACAGAAGAAGGAAAAAACTGAATGAGTGAACATCAGCATTACATGTACAAAACCCGTTGTAGGGCTGGTGTGGTTTTACATGATATCCATGAATGTGCCAGGTGTCCTACCTTGATGCCGCTACGTCCCTGTTGTTTGAGTAGGATGTTCTCTGGCTTGAGGTCACAGTGGATGATTCTGTGTCTGCTGAGGGCCTCCAGGCACTGCAGGATGGAGTGTGCAAACTTTCTGACCAGTGGCAAGCTGAAGCCCTGAAACTTGTTGCGTTTGATGAGCTCATACAGGTTCATGCTCAGCAGCTCAAAAGTGATGCAGATGTGGTTGCGGAAAGTGAAGTTTTCAAGCATGTGCACAACATTCATGGTGCCATTACGATCCTGCTTGCGCAGGTGCTCCAGGATGCGGATTTCCTCCTGCGCCTGCCGGTGGAAACGCTTCTCATTACGCACCATTTTCAGCGCTAGGTGTTGCTGCAGTTTGTGGTCATACACCTTGGCCACCTGGCCAAAGCTACCCTTACCAATAATCTGAAGAGGGCAAGAAAGATAAAAATCAGAGAGACTACATTATTAGCTTTGCATTGACTCAAATGTATGGTAAGATATGTATCAAAATGCATGAGCCTGACCTTGAGGAACTCGTAACGGTAACCCAGGTGGTCATGAGGGACATGAATGTAACTGCCCTGCTCATCGTCATACCCACAGTTGTTGTTGCCCCCAGCAACGGCAGGCCTCTTCTTGGCATTGGGTCCCACAAAGTAGATGTCTGGGAAGGAGTGGACCTCTGTCTGCTCCAGGGTGGTCAACTGAGATCGATACAGTCTCAGAGCCTGGTCAGGGGTAAGAGGGCCACACAGCTTCCCACTGTTCCCTCCATTCCCACTTCCCTGTGTGCCAGAGGATTCAGTGGAGCCCTTACTGGATTCAGTGCTGTAGAAAACAAGCATGGCAGAAACATGAACCACAGTGGTGTTACAGGTGCATATGGATTCATTTGAAAGCACTGTAGCAGCCAAAAATGCTTTTAAGAGACTTATTTCGCATCTTCATGGCCTGTGCATCTTCCCCACCTGTCTACACGCTGCTCCTTGGACTGGCTTGAGACTGGTGCAGCTTTACTGGACATCTGACCAGTGGTCCCAGTGTTCTGAGTGGTTGCTGTGGTTATAGCATTGACCTTTCGGTTGTTGGTGGAGTCTTCATACAGGTACTTGACCTTCAGCTGTCCACCTCGCACAGTTACCTGATCCTTCATTACAGCCTTGTTACTGACAACCTATTAGAAAGAGAGAAGAGACAAAAAGAAAGGAATTAGAAAATCATTTTTGTAAACACTATTATAGCTTATTCAGTCTGTGAACAGTGTGTACGTGTTGTAATTCACTGTCAAGTCAAGTGAAGATAATCATGCACAAAAATTTACTGGCAATGTGTATGATACAACCACTCAGTCTTTTAAGCTCACACATGCACAGAGAACAAAAGGTGGCACTCAGGGTTTACCCATTTATATGTCACCACTGCACACTAACAGGTGCTTCAGTGGAAGTGGTTTGGCTGTGGCTGGAAAAAGGCTACCATGGAAAGAGAACAAAGAAAGATTCCTGATGAACTCGTGACCCATCCCACACCTGTATCAACCAGGCCAACTTTAGAATAACTGGCAGTGAGCCCGTCGCAGAGATGCAGCTAACACTGGTAGTACAAGCACAACCAGTCTGGTAGGAAATTCAAAAGAACAACAGGCCCACCCCCCAACATGCAAAATGACCCCCATCCCCACCTATTTGTTAGCAGTTAGGTCAAAGGTATGAGCAATATTTGGCTCAACATCCCAATAATGCTTTTAAAATTAACTTCTTGGACAGACTTGATTATTGAGATTGTGGTTTAATGTGACTACTAACAGCGGCTCACCTTTGTCCTAAAACCTACTACTCGGCTGTTGTAGCTTAGCACAAAAGAAAAACTGAAGCACAGGGATTACACTTGCATTTGGACCACTGTACATTTCGCAAACCCTTTTACATATTTGACCACAACCTTTAAAATATGACAGCTCCACCTCTAACCTGGACCTGAAAGGTTAGAAGAGTGTGAAAAAAGCTCTAGTTTTGCTCTTGGCTGCCAGTAAATGGCTTCGTTTCAGCAACCCCAGGAATTCACTCCTGTCTCTTCCAAGCAGAAAGAACCCCCCCACACATTAGGGAGCACAAGGGAAATAGCAGTCATTAAAGTTAGATTATACTCTTTAACTGTAGATGCAGCGTGGCTGTTAATAAAACATGTCGACTAACTCAGCATGGCCTTCCTATATTACAGGCATGATGGGGTCTTTTTTCACATAACCGTCTTATTTTATGGCATGTGGTCTCACCTATCTGAGGGAAGGGAGATCTGCTGAGTATTTGGTTTCAGCTTATAGCCGAGTAGGTCCATAGCCGAAACCACGTCAGCTGATAAAGACAACGCAACAAAGGAAACATTCTTTATAAGTAGGTGTTGACATTTTCCACTGAGACATAACTAAGCTTGAAGAGTGTTTGTGATACGAGTCCTTAAACAGAGGTGGAATGTAGTCTTAACTTATTACAACCAGCCCTGCTGCTGATCTACTGTACAGTAGTGTCTCATACAGCTGTTGTCCTACAAATGCAGTCAAAGTCAATGACTGAGCCCCTTCAACCTAAACACAGACACAAATTCTGGCATAAAAATCAGAGCTTTGTAGCTATGAAGCACCAACAGGAGAGGGGGGGGGCAATCTGTGTGTTGTATCTGTGGGAGCAAAGAGGCAATCGGTGCAAGCAAAAACCAGAGAGTATGAATCTACTTTAACACAGGTAATCCTGTGGCCTAGAGTCCTCTGTGCAAACCATCTGTATGGGGCAACAGATGGACAAGAGCTTATCGCTTTACAGTCAGAGAACCACCTTAGTATGCTTGGCGCCTTCTCTCAAGCGCACACAGTAGCCCAACTCATGTAGAAGAAATGCAGACTTTAGTCTCACACACACCAGCAAATCATGCAACGATATGAGTTGGGTTATATACATAACATATTTATAGGTGAGATGGGCTGGCCGCTCTCACTTATTAATGGTGCATTAAACAGTGAATTCAAACTAAGTGCTAATACAACTTTTTTTTTTTAATCTTCCTCCTACAGAGAACAGGGATGACATCAGTCTATTTTAAAAGAGCACAAAGCAGCTCTCTGAGAACTGCACATGCTGAACTGGGGCGAGCTACTGTCAGGCACATTAAAGAGAGGGTATTACCTCTGTGAGCGTGACGGAAAATACAAAGGAAAAGGGCAGGACTAAAACAGAAAAGTAGGCCTAACCTCTGTACAAGCCCACTGATAGAAGATTACACGGGACAGAAGAAGGGGAGGAGAATGTTGATAAGTGATTTTCTTTATGGGCCACATTTTCAAACCCAGTAAATCTTCACAATATATCAAACAGACCTTTTTTCCTCTGCTAGTGTAGGAAGCTGTGGAGTATCATTGTCTCTGTGTGTGTGCATTTTCTGCCAAAGGAGCTTTTCAGAAAAGCAAAACTAACAGGAAGGTGCCCAACTAGGGCTGCAACTAATCTTTATTTTAAGTGTTGAGAAAAAACAAAAAACAAAAAAAAACCACTATTAATCTTGTCATGTAAAACATATTCAAATGGACAAATACCCACAAGTTCTTACCACTATGACTGTCTTCTCTGACAGTGCAAATAGATATTCATAGTGATACTAAAAAAAGCAACAACTAAATCTACTGATCAGCAAAAAGGTGACTTCCATTGCTATCTATGGGTCAGTGTACTGAAGCATGTGACCTGCATTTGATCAGTGCATGCCTATCTGCAGATTAGACATGGTTTATGACTGGTGTTCAAGCAGGTGAGGACAGTCACGTATCAGGCAAATGGAGATTTTTACAGCATATCAATATATCATACTGGTGAATCTACATCCTGTGGACTTTAAAGTGCACTGTTATTGACATTCACAAGGCTTGTTGGATCTCTGGATGTGGTTTAGGTGGAGACACCAAAAGGCTAATTCACTTCAGCTAAGCTGATACAGTCATGCAGAGCTGCCTGCTGCAATACACACACACATATATTTACCATGAGGCAGTCAATCAGTACTGCTCATATGGTCAAGCCATTGTCCCAGAAGGGGAAAAAAAACTTGACTGAATTACACAGGTTGGAGATTAGGCTAGAGATAAGCTACACACCGTGCTAAGCAAGACTGAGAAAATAAGCTGTGATGTTTATAGGATGAACAGGAAGAAAGCTAAGTGGAGAATATGTCTGTGAGGAACAGGATGTCTGGAGATAGAACATGCTGTATCATAGGAAACAGGGATTTTATGGCTTGGTGCATATGTGTGTGCATACTCACTGTGTGTTTGGGCATTGGGGGCAGCCCAGATGGGGTGTTTGTATCCGTGTCGTCTTTAATGATGCGATCGGTCCTCATGTATGAGTCATACAGGCCATCACCATGGCGTGCTGAAGCAACAAAAAAGAACAAATACATTTGTAAGTTTGTGCAGTGATCAAATCCACATAACAGACACACTCAGGAATAAAAGCTAAGGATAGTGTCCAGATGTTACATCTGCAGAATGCAATCTAACCTTCTCAAGAGCCAAACAGTCCCTTGTTTATTCAGACCAAGCAAAATACCACTGATTATTTCATTATTCCACCAACCAGTTCTAATAACTTCAATTAGACTAAAACTAATGATCTGTTATGACCCAGCCTCAGTGGGGCAACCCCACTACACTGCTCTCTGTAGACCACTAGGGATTCATACTGTCTGCCACATCCTAACCCACATTTACTGCAAAAAGGCCATTATGTGCAGATACATTGTATCTATTGTGTCCAATACATTGTATCCAAGGCCGGGGCTCCGACCCGACCAGCTTAGATAGGGCTTAGGGCCCCAGATCGCTAGCGCTGCAATTGGATTTATTGGTCTAATAGGGGTAACAGATGCCTCTGTGACGACAGCATCTTTCCGTCTGTCCATCTGTCCATTCAGGCCGAGGCAAGCAGTGCGCACACCAGGTGTGCTCAGAAATAGAGCTCATATGGAAAGCTCTGTGTGCTTGTCATTCAACAGCACTGTGTGCCTGTTCACCTCTGTGGCATGAAGCCAGACACCCGACATGAGGTGCTACAGACAGGAATGAAAGGAGCATTTGGGACTGTTGGAACGAGTCAGTTCCTCAAATGACAAACGCCTATCAGCCAGCTGCTCATCTCAAGAGTCATGTAGCATATACTCAAGTTGCTACCGGTATCATGTCCGATAGCTTGAAATGAGGTTGAGCAGCCAGTTAGCGTGAGCCTTTTACAGAGCTATTGTGTTGTGTTAGCTCATTATCAAAAGCCCAAAACTGTAGGCTTGGTGTTTTCTCTGACTAGCCTCTGGGAGGGTTGTAACCATGCACAGGTACGTCAAAGACCATATCCCCCGTGCTAGATTGTCAACACACCAGCACTGCAGCAGATTATACCTGCTACCTGGATACAGGCATATTAGCCCTGCACAGCACAGCAAACAGAGGCATTCGGGCTCCACACAATATCAGGCAAGCACAGACCCCATTAGCCCTCTGCAAACACATAATCACTCAGTGGGGCGTAGCATTTTCTGCACATCTGACTTTGCTGTACAAGCAAACTTTCACAGGGGGAAAAGATTAAACCGAGCCCGAACATCTATGTAACCAAACACCCGGCCTGCCATGTGCAGCTGGAGTTCAGCCCCCTGCACTGTGAAAATCCCCATCTGCATAGCAAAAGGGCAGAAAACAAGATCCAAGCAAACAAACAAAACGTGTACAGCAGATCATGTGTCACAAAACGCGTTAACCTAGTGGGAATGCAGTGTTGTTGTTCTCCTCTTCCTGGCATCCTGGACAAAGTGCTTCCTTACACACAAAGCGATGGGCGCATTTGACAGATGCTTAAAAGCATTGTCAGAGAACTTTCACAAATGTTTAAACACTGCTAGCACCTCAATGGCAAAGTACAGGCCAAACAAAGATGAGGTCAGTGCCAATATAGATATAAAACAATAACAACGATAGTCATGGTTCAAACTCCAAGAGTAGCAAACACTGATATGAAGGCTTATCAGCCTTTGACCAGAACATAAATGCTTAGGAGGAAGATGTAAAGTAAACGCTGCTCTTTCTGAACAAAAGCCTGGTCAATGACACGAAGTTGCAAAGCAAAAGGAAACATGTTTGCAAACCGCACCTTGTGAACTCCTGCCCACAGCGACACGACGCGACAGTGAATACGGAAGACAAGTAAAAACGTCAATTCAAGCCATTTTAGACACAAGATATTTCTATGAACGCTAAAGGTTGCTTGACTATGAAACTAAAGCCACGACGTGGCACCCAGCGTTTGTTTGACTTCACACCGTGTTCGTTCGGTTCAAACATTAAACCAGGACAAAAATACTTCAGCAACAATTAGGTAAACAAAGGTAGTGACAAAGACTGCAGCACTTTCTTGTGGTTACCTGTTGCTATTGGGCCCTCTGGCTTTCTGCTTATTATCATCATGTTTATAATTAATACGTGATGCCAGCATCCGAAGCGGGGGGAAATCAAACAAAAACGGCGGAAAGCAAAAGGTTCAAATTAAAGTCACGTAGCAAACTTAGCCAATAGCATTTATAACTTCGCAGTGATCGGCCGTGTCCCAGTACCCTTGAGTTGTGGTTTCGACTGCAATAACTCGTTATTTTGTCCTTGGGGCTGGTTTTCTTTCTTCTTGGCTTTCACTGCAATTTATCCTTGTTTTATTTAAAACACTCTCACTCCTCCTGGCTAACATTTGCAGTGGCTGCAGTGTGAAAAACCTGAGCAGGCGATGGGGGTCGTTTCACTCAGCTAACTAGCCAGCCAGCTAGCTCGCACATCCACAAAAGCACTCGTTCGCCCGAGAGCCGCTCCCTCTGTTAAAAATAGTCTGAGTCCAAATAATAGAGCTTGGTGGTCTGACCCGTGTGCCCCTCGCCTTTCGCTGTCGGTCGATCCAGAGCACCATTCCCGTGCTTATTCCCGGTTAGCTGATTTCGTAGTTAGCAAACAGCGATGCTACCACTCGTCGAAGTACCAAGATTCTGTCCTCCTTCGGGACAGCTTGGGGCTGATTCGCCTCGTCCTCGGTAATTGCTAGCCAAAATAGGCTAGCTGTACCGGTGCCCCATGTTAGCTACAGAAACAGCCGCAGCATCCCCTCCGCAGAAAAGCTTCACCTGTACTCAGTGTTTAATCCTTTCTCCCTGCAGTAGGAGTATCTTATTCGACGCAGCTGTGTGTTGTTGCTAAGGGCGTCTTCACGGACCTCGCAGCCAGCAGGCAAACAGAGGGCGGTCGCAGGGCGGTGCTCAGCAGCAGTGCGCCCCCCAGCGGCCAACAGTGTCACTGTCTAGACACTATAAGTTTGCTTCATTAAACTGGCACAAGACTACTCACATAATCTTACTGAATGTCGACTCATCAAGTCAATCAAATGTAATAGGGCATCATTTCTGCTGTTAAATATATTAATAGATAAACATTAAATGTTAACAAAGCATTTACAGGTATAAGGGCAAGGAACGTCAAGTCAGCACTTTTGGTGTTAATACGTCATTATTACAGTAATGACTTTTACAGTAATCCAAGTCTGCAGTTGTAAAGGTTTATTATTTGGTAATAAATCATCTTAGAAAAAACAAATCAAATGTCCTGTTCTTGAAGGTGAAACACCACCCACAACTTGGCAACCCACTATTAGTGGCTTAACTGTCATAAAGCCTTATTAAAAGATTTATTAACAATTAAAATGTAATTTGTTTAAAATTATTTTCTAAAGAATGTGTTTTAAGAAAGTGATACCATACACATAAAGTATTACACCTCCTAAATATTTTACAGGTTCATATTTTTCACAGTGCCCACAAGGCTAAGCAGAGTGGCAGAACAGCTTATCAGTATTCAGCCATTTTGACAGCATATTCACTGTTTGGGTCATGTTGCAGCAAAGGTTTGAAAATACATTGGGTCTGACTTCTAAATATCAATATATGCTGAGTTTCATAGGTCGTCGTTATAGCAAACAACATCTAAGGTCTCTGGATTCATTTTGGACAATTTTATAGCTTTCCTTTTTTGTAATTCACAAAAGGACAACAGCTAGTCAGTTTCCTGAACCCTCTCCCACCCCTCAACAGTATCAAACACTATCTCTGTCTCTCAGTTCTTCCTACTCTTACAGCGTTAGATAGGCTGCATACAAATAGAACAGCACTGTCTGATGGAAAAGAGCAGTTATTCGCTGAGTTTAATTACTCAAACTTAAAAATGTGATGGTAAGTTAAATTTTATAATGACATTTAGAACACTTCCGCTGCAGCCAATGGTTCAGCATATTCTGCCTCATTATTTTGTAATCTTTTCTAACTCGATACTTGTTATTTTCTGACATTTTATAAACTGGACAAAGAAGTGATTGATCAAAAAAGTAAGCTGTACTGATAATTAAAGCACATTTGTTGCAGCCATAGTGTTATGAAGACCTCTCCCCAGGGCCCGCACAGTGTTGCTGGTCATTCACTTTGCATACCCTGTCAGGAAAGCTCAAATGCGGATTGAAACTGGAGAGGATATGGAGCTCTATACAGGGCTAGATATAGTCAGAGTAGGGGCAGAGGACAGACTTAGTGAGACTGGGGCAGGTATGAGAAGGTTAACAGGCTAAATTCAGACTGTGATACAAGCTGAGCAGAGGGTCAAGCTAATCTTAGCGCTTTCTCAGAGGTGAGAAGAAGGGCCTGTCTATATTTGCTGCCATAAATAAGTATACTGACCCAGTTTTAGGCAGCTCTCTGGGCAGCAGCCAGCCTTTAATGCCAACTCAGCCTTGTTGATTATTCTAAGACGGGAGTAGGGTGACAATGCCTATAAATTGATTTGCTTATTGCATTTTCCCCTCATAGAGTTCAAGGTGTAAATGTGTGAAGGATGGAATTTATAACCACAGCAAGAGACCAGGTGCAAAGCTACCTAGAGGTCCTTGTGGACTTTGGGCATTCTTCTGTATTTGGTCCAGAGCCTGTGACAGACACTGGCACCTGTGAGTGAACTGGTTTGACACATTATTTTTAATGGCCTTTTAAAGCAGCATCGGCCTAAAACAACCATATCAGGAGAAGTATTGTGAAACTGTGAGTGTCAAAACAAAATGCTTTATCATGTGAAGCAAATCAAACAAACTTACACATGAGTATTTTGGGTATGAGCAAACATAGATTACATTCTGTGCAGACAGACAAATAGGAAATGGTGTTTGGATAAGGTATTGCCACCTGCTGGTGATTTGACAGCAATGCAAGTTGTCTTCTGGTGAATAAAACGAGCTCATGTCTGTACAGCAGATTCTGCTAAGATTAATAATGCACTGACTGGTGCACGTCTATTAAAAGAAAGAAATACATAATCTGATTCCTTACACTGACAGGTGCCACTGTAAGGAGATATCATTGTTATTCACTTCACCTACCAGTGGTCATAATGTTATGGCCGATTGGTGTATGAGATAACATAAAATGCAGACGAGGACTCACTGAGATATCCTCACGTAACATTTTACTGCTGTATGGCCTTTAGTCAAACCGCATACGACCAGAAAACATAAGGAAATGAGATTATTTCAATAAAGGGATGACATTTTTATTTAATTTTGATATTCTGTACAGTTCTACTGATATTTTTTATACATACTTCTTCAAATAGAACAAAATAAATTGCAAAAAAGCATTAAGTCTCAACACCCTTGACGTAATAGGATGGTGTGAACCATGAAATAAATAATGCGCTCCACACACTCACACACACACACACACACACACACACGCACACACACATACACTTCAAATGTGCACACACAGAGTGTTTGTTGGAAAGAAATGAGTTGTGAGGGTAGGGGACAAAAAAGAAAATATACTGTACAACACCACCCAAGAAACATGCAAAAGCACCTATTCATACACTCAGACACCTGTGTGCTGAAACACACCTTACATAGATACACAGGGGCACATGAAACAAAAGGCACTGCCAGCAGGAACAGCTTGGGCGTTGGGTGGTGGCATTAAAAATGAAAAGGCTTGGGTTTCACAGAGAAGCATGTGCTCTTGGACAATGGACTTGAACCACCAGTATGTTGTATGTGAAATAAATGATGAAACATAAGGATGTGTGAACTTCTTTTTTTTAAAATGATTTGGTTAAATGCATTAATTTTATGATACATCCATGCCAGATACTTTTCCCAAACAACCTAATGTACAGTGGTAATGTGTTATAATACATGTGCATTCAATGTGTGTTTTAATATTTGATAAATGAGGCCCAATGAGAGAGAGTGCTGATGACCCACAGACTCTCGTTATAAAACATTATTCACATTTTCCTCAGTGCCCAAATGAGCACACACACATACACATCAGTAGGACTGATATCAAAAGAATATTAATATTCACAATAATAACAACTAACTGAAATCTTGTCACTCCTTTTCCAGTGTCTACATAATACATATGTTTTGCAAACACATCATTGGTAAATCATAGCCATTTTCATGAATTTTATATAATTTTCATTTGTTTTTGGGGGGGGGATGGGGGGGGGGGCTGAAAGATAAGGAATACAGAAATGCATGCCCAGCCCCAGAATTGTGGGCCAGTCAGTGACCATGTGCAAAACAAAAGCTGGTTTAATTTTCCATACATCATCTTTAACTCCATAAATTTCTAAATCTCTCTTGTCCCTTTAAATTCCTCTCAATAGATCTGTCCCTCTAAGCTTTGGTGTAAAAATCATCTCACATTCATCTACAACCCATATACAATAACAGTCGGTGTATGTAAAGTGTAAAATCTGAAAAGGTGTGAGAACTGCCTCCCTCATAAGGCTTCATTTGTGGGTGGAGTTCATGCAAGGTTGATCAGATTAGGATTTACTGTAGGGAAGGAAACAGAAATGAAATCACCGTTATCATTTGAGAAGAGGTCAGGATTGTGTATTTGTCTGGAGAGCTCTCTGTCAGTGAACCACCTGACGGGACCTTCACAGAGGTCTTTCAAATGGCATTTAAGTGGGCGAATAAGAACGGATGTGTGCCAAAATCGTGTGGTGTAGGGTAGGGGAGAGGATTCTCTGTCCTCCTTTAATTTTCTCTTTGCTCAACACATGCTCCCTGAGAATAACCAGAGAATGGATTTCGCTTTCTTATCCTGTCTCTCTGCTTCCTACCCTTGTTTCAGGAGAAGAACTGCATACTTCAACCCTGACCCTAAACACCTCCCTCACAAATTCACATCTCATGTAATATATCTGGCAATAAGCCTATACATCAATTCCAAGAAAAAAAGAACACTCAGTATGATTGTCCTTTCATCCCAAAGAGATGCAGAAAAAAAGTAATCATGCCTTCTGTTTGAATTCTAAGAGAGAGACTCATGCATAAGTAACACTTGCAGTAGCAGCAGCAGCAGCAGTAGCAGAAAAAGAAGGAATCTTAATCAGATCTCACGATGGAGTTTCAGTTCTTTATGTGTGCGTCCTTGGCAATGAAAACACTACTTGTCCAATCAGCTAGCAGATCACACACTCTGCAGCCTTTCACATCGCTTTCAGCCCCTGATTCTCTCCTCAGGGAGTGGATCTACTGGATGGTGGCGTGGGGACTTGTATATGTCCTGAGAAAGGGTAGGAATGTGCTGTTTGTTTGTGTGTACATGTGGAGGTTGGAAACAAGTTCGGCTCCGGCTCCGCTCTCTGAATTGATCACAGGGTCTTAAGGGGTCAGCGTCCAAGGGTCAGTCTGTCCCTGGGTTGAGGTCATAAGCTAACAGGTGAGGGGTCAGGGGTCATGTTGTTGTAGGGCCTGTTGTAGTTTGTGACGATACACTTCATATTTTTGCTTCACTGCCCGCACACGCTCCGACTCCTCTTTCTCCAGGATTACCAGGAAGTTTTGTAGCTCAGGGACAGAAAATGCATGCCACTGTTGTAGAAAGAATGACAACAAGAGAAACAGATTATTATACAAGTGAAAAAAGTTAGTTTTTCTTAATAACTTTCCATGAATGTCTTAGCAGCCTGTATAATTCCCACTTCCTTCTAAATAAATCTATGAAAACCCAAATTTTGAGACAAATTAGATAGTAATTGGATACTCCAAGTGCATATATATAGTATGTTTCAGTACTTTCTCACCTCCACCTCCCCAGTCTCATTTTCCTTTAGGACAAAGCTGAGCAGCTCTGGGTCTGGCCCTGCTATCAACCTCAGCACAAGGGGATGCTCACACAGAGGAAGCTTCTGGAACAAATCTGCACACACAAAAAAAACATATCATTGAATGCTATTCTATTACATATTTTCTGTAAATGAGTTAGGTGTTTTTCTCACCCTGCCCATCACGGTGCATCTGCCTGTACAATGCAAACTTGCGCGGATTATCCAGAACCATGAACTTCTTCAGCAAGCCCTGGATGACCTCTCTGGTGGTGGTCAGAGAGCTGATGTGGAGCTGCTTCATACAGTCACATGGTAGATAGAAGGATGTTCTCTTTTCACTCTGTCCAGAGTCCGTCTCTTCCTGGTCCTCTGACAGCGCTCGATTTCGGCCGCCGGTTTGCCTGGACGCTCCCTCTGAGCCCGCCGCCTCCACAGCGGGGACTGTGACTGGTCGACTGAGCCTCAGGTGGACCTTTATGAACCCTGTGTAGGATCCGTCTGAAGCCTGCAACATAGAGAATGGGAAGATGAAATCATTTAGCATGGATGTAAAGTCTAATCAATACCATGCTCTTCTTATATTTTTAAACTAATAGCTAATATCATCACAGCCACAGAGTTGGCCATTAAGAACAACAAGCTGGCTGAGATGGAGGCGGAAGAACTGCGGATGAAGGTCACAGCTGCTTTGGTCAGTGTCAAACTCCCACCCTCGAACCTTACCCCTGAGGAAAGGAGGGCTTTAGCTGCACTAGAGGAGGATGAAACCATCACAATCCTTCCAGCAGACAAAGGCAGATGTATGGTAGTCCTAAACTCAGCTGACTATCAGACCAGGGTTTCCGGCCTCCTCAATGACACCACCACCTATGAAGCACTGAAGAGGGACTCCACCGGTGGCTACAAGAAGAAGGTTATAGACTGTTTACAGAAGCTGGAAAAGGAGGGAGATATTGACCGGCGACTATACTACAGACTATACCCCGGGGAGGCCGTCCTTTGCCTTTATGGCCTACCCAAAATACACAAGGAAGGAGCCCCACTCAGACCCACTGTCAGCAGCATCAACTCTGTGACTTACAACATAGCCAAGCACGTGCCCACCATTCTGGCTCCTTTGGTGGGAAACACACAGCACCACATAATAAACTCCC